CAGAACAAAATCATCCAGCTAGTATGCTCGAATTAGGTAAGTATATGATAAATGGTAAATTTGGTTGTAAAAAAGACGTTACATCTGGTAAAACTTTGATCCGACGATCAAAGGAATTAGGCAACAGATCAGCTAAATTTAACCAGAAAGTAGATGACACGAAAGCAAGGAAATATCGAAGTGCTTCAAATGCATCTACAAGTCCTTTGAAAAGAAACGGTTATCAAAAGAAAAGCAGAACATCATCAAATGCTAGCTCAGCTTCTTCCATAAGACCTATGATAGTTTCTAAATCATTTTCTAGCAAAAAAACTAACACAATAACAATGGATCAATTCAGACATAGTGCGTATGTATAAATCAAAAAAAAACAAAACAAAACAAGAAATTAGATCTTTTTAGTTTTTTTAAAAAAAAAAATTATATTGGGACTTTTTAATCAAAGAACATTTTTCCCTTTATATAGATATTTATTCTTTGTACACTAGTAATAAATAAAGAATATTTAATTAAATAAATTTTCAATAATAGCCGCCCCACCTTCGGGTCTAGTAGCAAAAATGAAATTTTCTAAATCATTATGTGATAAATGTAAATCTAACTTATAATATTTTTCACTAACAAGTTAATAAATTTGTCAATCTCATTCTCGCGAATTAAAGAAACGATATATCCGGTTAGCCTGCTACCAACTGCACCACCATCCAAATAAATTTTTACCAAATCATCCAGTTCATCGCAAGAACATTCGAACTATTCTTTACAACTTTTGTGACTTTCATTCAACAAATTACCTAATTCTTCAAAAAATCGATTCTCTTGTTTCACTTTATGTTTAGATATTTTATATAATTGAAATTTTTCTGCTCTAACGGGAAATCTACTCAGAAATTTATCCTTAATTTCATCTTGATTTAAATTCAAAAGTGAACTTAATTCATCTAGAGTGAACCCATCATGATTGTTTTCATAAACCTTTTCAATATAATCCAATAGTGGATGGTAATTTTGTTGGTGCCGCGCAAAGTGATGGTAAAAATTGAATGTATAAAACATGATCTTTTAAGCGTAAAAACTAATTTGGTCGCTTTGTTCATGATCTTACAAGTTTTTCTATCCTTGTTGAGCGGATTTTTATACCAATAAATTGCTGGATCTATATCTTATAATATTTAAAGCCAACATTTCATCTTTTGTGATACCATATCCATACTAATAACATGTACCGACGTAACATTGTGCCAACATAGGATTTTTCTTTGAAGCATTAAAGAATAAACTAAATGCTTTTTCAATGTTCTTGTTTAATCCTATTCCAGAATAATTAAAATATCCAAGTAAAAAGGTGGAATTGGAATCGTTTTGATCGTCCACTAACCATTTAATTAACCTTGTAATATTATGCTGTGATCTTTAAGATAATCAAAAATACCTAGGTTTCGTAATTTTGTATCAATTCCTTTATTTTTTTTCCTTAAAAATAAGATTAACTAATCCTTTAATAATTATACTCGAATTTTTTTCAGATAAAATAACTTGTTGGTTATTTGGTGAAGCTTTAGATTCCATCTCCCTTGTATTAATCTGATCAAAGTTCGAGTATCACCATTTTTCTTTACTTTGTTTGTTTTTGTAAATATCCTTAATTTGGCAACTACTTGACTAATGGTCGGTCGATTCTTTGGCTCATCATCCCAACATTCTAAAGAATACATATATGTAATATTTCAAATAGATCATAAATTTACAATCATATATTTACCAATATAAAGCTTAACATAATCATCAGGAGTATCAGGAGCCTTGTAAAATGTTATAAATCAAACCAAAATCACCATTGGCATAAAAGAGAGGGTAACCACTTGATATCTCCCACATAAGCATGCCTATACTGTCAACATCACTCTTTTCGTTTAGCTCATATGGTTGGTCATTGTTTAATCGCCTGTTAAACAATTTTGGATCTATATATGGATATTATCAGATAATATTGATTGTCTAGATGACGCTGTTTCAATTCTTTTCGACAATCCAAAACCAGCCAATTTAATGCTATTTTGATGTACTATTATACTTTTGGAATGCTAACATACAAAAAGGATTTGATATATTTAAAATTAATATTTAAGGTTAATAATTCTAATATAATAAATCACAAATATATATTACCAAATCACGACACAAAATGTTCTCGACACGCAAATATGATACAGCATGAGCCAGCTGGTAAGCCATGCTGTATTTACCTTTCCAAGCAAGCTTGTCAAAACTTTTATTCAAATAGTTTCGAAGTGTGCCCCCGTCAGCGTATTCCATTAAATATTTTCTTGATTGATCATGTTGATTTTCTAATATTTTTTTTTTTTTTTAAAAAAAAAAGGTAGTCTAGGTTACAAAGTTGATTATATTATACTAAATTTAATTCTATAGAGCAATATGATTTGTAAATATTTATCATATCTTGATCAAAAGTCGTAATGCCATGAAGGCGAAAAAGACTATCAAGAAAACCAATTTTATGACGAAGCTTAATCTAGAACAGAGATTTTCAATTTAAAAATGTAAGGTATTCGTAAAGGCTAGAAAGACACGTTATATTATGATTACCTCCTGAACGACTTCTTTAGCCGTGATGCTGTTAAGGTTATAAAAGGATTTCAGTGCCAATACTTTATGAGAATCTCCAATTTGCACGATAGAATTTCCGAAACCTCCGGAACCAATTTCTTGAAAATGACTAAAACGGTCATATTCGTAATATTCAATATTTTTTGTAGAAATGGATCTTCAAACCAGCTAGTCCACACGTTCGAAATATCGTGTATTTTGCATTTTTTTTTGAAAAGATTTTTTTAAAAAATAAAAGGGGGAAAGAACAATGTAACGTGATCAAAATTTGGAAAGGGTCGACATTTATTTTTTAACATAAATAGATGTAGATTAGGGAACATTTTTTACTTAATAAAGGAGCATAATAAAAATATTCTTTTGTTACCCAATATCTGGCTTAGTTGTATCAAGGGGATATCGCGCCATTTTTTTTTTTAATATTATGGATCGGTCGATTTTGATCTTTTTCCCCATATATCCACATAAATGGTTAATAGATCGTTTTTGAATTTTAGAGAAATACGTGTTTGTCACACGTTTTAAGATAA